GAGACTTAGTTTGATTACAGAAAAAACTAATTCATTTTGTACTTTTTGCTTTACATCTTATGTATTTGTATTATTTAGTTTTGATGTACAGCACTTTGCGTCAGCTGTTGTTTTAAAGTGTGTTATATGATGATGATAAAATTCTTATTCTTCTGTTTTTAAACTAATTTCAACAACAAGTTTCTGCAAAAAGAAACAAACAGAAAATTGAACATGGAGGAAAAAGATCATTGAAATTCTGTAAAATAGCCATAAAGCACAGAAACACGGATTTGTTTCTGTGACAGGACAGTGGGACATAGAGCTGTTCAATAATCACAGTGACCCACTGTGGCCGTTTCACACACAGCAGTCTGACAGCGCTGTGCAGCTTGACGTCACATGTTGGAGGATTTTCTCTACCATCACGGCATCGATTAGGAATACTAAATAAGTCTTGTGTTGTGATGAGGCTTCACACAGGTAAACAACAGGTAAACAACAACAACAACTAAATAAACAGGCACTGCTGTGTTGTCCCAAATCTTTTATTGTAGCTCCCAGAACAGAAAAACTTCCCACTTCAAATCTCCGTCAGTACTTCATGATCATTTAGTCAGCACAGTGTCACACCTGCACACTCAACCATAATCTGAGGGTTATGGCTCAAAGACAGCATGTCATCGAAGACGGTGGCCACGCCCCCTCCGCTCCTCTGTCATCATTGATACTTTGTTGCATAGTGTTCATCAGAAGTGGCCTCTGCTTAGCAACAGCGCTGCCTGTGCGCCACAACCATCTGAGACAGGAGCGTGACCTGTGACCAGGGCCGAGTACTGAAAACCCAACAGTGTTTCTCTTGTTTGTGCTTCACAGGACAAAGTCAGCAACAGCTTATGGCTTAGTACAAAGCACCGCAAGCATCTTCTGGAAATAAGAATTCTTCTCATCTCTCCAAATTCTTTTTAAAAAATCTATTAAAAAATCTAAAAGTTGTCTCTCAGTAAAGATTCTACTTTTCAATGTTACAAAGGTTCAGTTCACATTGACTCAAAGTTTCAGCAAACAGAAACACCAGCTAGTGTTACAGGAGAAAGAAAAATCAGACATATTCACACGGCTGTTGTTACAGTAAGTGAGGACCACACGTAGTGTTTACTGATTCCTACAGCATTTTCACCACATCATCATACATCATCATCCTCGAGTGAAGCGAGGTGATTTATGTTTACAGAACAAACAGAAACGATGTTTGAGTCTACATCTGGCCTTCAAAATAAGATTTGACATTATTGTGTGTGACAGGGTGGCGTTGCGCCTCTACAGAGAGGCTGGATTTCCACAGGAAGGAGCCACTGTTATAAACGTGGGGGGGCGCTGCCCTCACAGCTCAACAAGCTGAGGTTCAGCTGTGCAAACAGAAGATCCAGCTAGGAGCCGACAGAATACAGTTTGATGTAGTGAGATAACAAAAGGAAAAGAGTCAAACACAGTCTGCAAAACTAAACTACAGCTCACACAACAAGAAGGATAAGCAAAGATCTGTCCGCACATAACAACGCATTACTCACAAACACACACAGTTCATGTGTTAGCATATGGCTCATCCTGGAGTCGACACTGAGTGGTAAATTCACCTGATGCTAAGGAGGAGGAGGGGAGGAGGAAGGAGGCGGGCGACACGCGTCACACCTTTGCATAGAGTCCTCTGAGCAGCAGCTTCGGCTCTCAGCCGGCATTTGATTTGGTTGCTCCGACACTTTAAAGCGTGAAGCTTCTTAACGTGCAGCTCCAGCTCTTTTTGCTGAGAGGTACAAGACTGTGCGAGTGCAACACACACTCGCACGTCACAGGGAGTGGACATCGGCCCAAACACACTCAACTAAAACACCCTGAAAACAGGAAAACAAAAGAATGAGCCCAAACCTGAAAGAAACACAACAAAGGTAAAGGAAGCATGTTAGTGAACATCATCTCACACACTGACACTAAAAGGGAGATTTAAAGGGAGGGATGAAAATGGGGGGAGAGGGGCGATTGTTGCCGTGACAACTCAATCATTTCTCTGGAGAGGGGCATCATCATCTGAGCTCAGATGGTGCTGATGCAATGTCAGTGGGTCCCTGCTCCATCACAGCAGTGACTGCCGTGGCCTACGTTTCTGTGGACGCAAGAGCAGAGAGACGATTGGTCAGTGTTCACAGGTGACCTGACAGGTGATCACTCCCCCTTCATCTCTTATGAAACGTACGTTCTGATAAGGAACATCTGCAGTCACACATCTGTCTGCTCCCAGCTGTTGGCGGCTAATCTAAGCTTTACATCACTCCCACTTTCCCACGTCAGGCTGATTGTGACGTCACCGGTCTAGGCCCTCTGGCCTTCTTCACGTACTTTAAATCTCACTGTGCATCTGTCATTGTTCCTTGCAGACATCTTTGTGCACCCCACCTCCTCCCCATCGCTCCATCTTCATCTCCACCCCAGCGTCTGGACTCGGGGGTCCCACCCTAATCCTCATCACATTCTGCTGTGATGGTTCCCTAAGTCTGACCGCCTCACCTCAAACTGAGCTATGCACATCATTCCTGCTAATGATCGCTCTTTATCGCAACCCTGTGGATGACAGAGGGGCTGAATCAGGTGACCATGAAGCACCCCACATGTGCATTTAGTTCCTCAGGTAGGTGATGTCAAAGAAAACAGACTCAGCCTGGACCGGCCTCTGCCACTGCTCTGTGGTCCAGTGTGATGCTCCGTGCACACAGCTGCAGATTAACATCCTTCTATCACAACAAGCTACAGTATGTGCAGCTGTTTAAACACCAAACAGCTGACCGTGACTGCCTCCCGACTCATCAGTGCACAGCTAATGAAAGGTCACACAGCAGCTGTGTGACCTTTCATTAGCTGTGCTAAGACTGATTTCCCTGTTCAAACTACGACTGCAGGGAGTCGGGCAGAGATGCATTTTATACGTTCGATTTAAGGAGTTCAATTCTTCAAATCTTCTAATGGGACGTAGAAGCCATGAAACTGGTTACCTGTAGGCTCGTCTTTCCACAGGTCCTCCATCTCAGGAGCCCTTGCTGCTGCAAAAACAGAAACACACATGCTGAAGTAGAGCGAGAACAACACACTGAGTCACAGCCCTCTGAAGGCACAGCGAAGGTCAGCTTTCAGGAATGAGATGTGTACCCACTCACCACCACCATGTGCTGCTTCTTCTTCTGCGACTGTAAAAAACAAACATTGAAACAACATCATTCTCCTGCCTCAGCACTGTGTCAGTGCTGTTGGTCAGCTAGCACACGTGCTGTGAAGCACAGGCTCTCAGGAGCTTGCTGGACTTTGATCTGTCCTGATGGCTCAGCTATCAGTGCTGATGGAGACATGAGACAGGCTCAGGCTTGTTACAAGTGACCTCCATGACCACTCAATAGTTCCACTGAGGTTAAAACTGGACCCCACAGACAGCTCACTCTGAGTGTCAGCACCCACACCTGAGCCATGCTGCTGATGCTACCTTAGGCAGCATCATTAGAAGACATAGCATACATTT